AGGCGCCTGCCACCACACCCGACTAATTATTGTATTTTTAGTAGCGATGGGGTTTTGCCATGTTGGCCAGGCTGGTCTCGAGCTGCTGACCTCAAGTGATCTGTCTGCCTCCGCCTCCCAGAGTGCTGGGATTACAGGCATCAGCCACTGCGTCCAGTCTGCTATGTAAATTATATCTGAATAAAGCTGTTTAAAATAAAATACGCTTGTAACGGTCTCAAAAAGACTGTTCTAGAAGCCTGCTATGTTAATTATGTTTGAATAAAGCTGTTTAAAATAAAATAGAAAGGCTTGTAAAGGTCTCAAAAAGACTGTTCTAGAAGTGCTGTCTGTATTAGGCTCTGCCTTCACCTGTTGTTTCTCCCCTCACATCCAAGGTCACATGAAGGCATCTCCTCTTGCAGTAGTCTCTCTTTACATGTTAAATTCTTGCTTTTTCTTCATTCAAGCTTTTATCCCCATTACTTACCCTAGACTTTCAGAATCAAGGCTTGGTTTTTTTTCTTTCCCATTTTTTTTTTAGCTTATTCAAATTAATTGACTTTTTTTTAACCTTTTATCCTTCTGCTAAAAACCTATACAAAAGTTGTCGTTTCTGTCTTTCAGCCCTAGCTGCTCTTTCAATTCTGTGTTTAATATATAATCTATAAATAACCTATGTGTTACAGCCACATGTCTTTTTTTTTTTATAGATGGAGTCTTACTCTGTCACCCAGGCTGGAGTGCAGTGGCAGAATCTCGGCTCACTGCGACCTCTCTTTCCCGGGTTCAAGCAATTCTCCTGTCTCAGCCTCCTGAGTACAGGCGTGCGCCACCACACCTGACTAATTTTTGTATTTTTAGTAGAGACGGAGTTTCACCATGTTGGCCAGGCTGGTCTTGAACTCCTGAACTCAAATGATCTGCCCGCCTCAGCCTCCCAAAGTGCTGGGATTACAGGTGTGAGCCACAGTGCCCGGCCTACATGTCATTTAAATTAAAATTTAAATGTCTTGGTTCATTTACTGTTGATGATTTTACAAACTTAACAGTGAAAACGCTGTTGGCTGAGAAACTTTAGGAACTCTGGGTGAATACACGGTTGGTTGAATGTCCTGGCTTTAGAGCTGTCATCTAGTCAGTAGTGGTTCATTTCGTCTGGGCCTGGAATTCACATGAATTAACCTAGCGAGCCTAGTGTTACTAGGAACAGGAAGTTAGGGATGGCAGCTCTTGGTTAGATGACATTGACATGTGGTGATTTTGTGCGCTGAAGAGAAAACTTTAAAAATAATTGGCGAACTTCTCTTCCTTAGCCTTCCTGTTGACAATACTTATCTCATTATCTTAATAGGGTTTCGTGTTAAGTTTTCACACCTCTCTTTCAATACATTTGTCATCAAAGGTTCCATTCTTCTTGCCTTGAATATATACAGACTTAATGTCTATCTCTACCATTATTCCCTCCCTTCCTTTTCCTGAAGAACTTGGATCCTCCAATCTATTACTGCTCTTTTGGAAACTCTTTCGCCTACTTTAAAATCCACTGGCTCCAGTTTATTGTATTGTTGACTGCAAAGCAAAGTACTGCTTTGACTGTAGTTTCTAACTCTATTCCTGTGGCTTAGTTTGCCCCTTTACCTCTAGCAAGATGATGCTTCTCACATCCTCTCTGTCCTGTCTGCTTAGCCCCTGTTATTTTCCCATGCAGCCTGAGGCTGGAAATGGCTCCTTATTTTGTACTTGCCAGGTTGTTGTTACAGTCTCCCTGGCCAAAAGGTTAAGGAAAACCAGAAAATAATTTACTCAAGTCTACCTTTTTATCTCAATATCTATTCTAATATGTTCTTTACTCCCTTCATGTATTTATAGAATGTGCATACTTCTTATTCATGTTACTAGCAAATGTGAAGCAGAGCATATCATTAAAGGATGAATAATTAACAAATTGTTGAATTTCTCAAAATACCCAGAGCTCTTTATTCATCTTACTAAAATAAATTGCTTTACAGGGCCAAGAGCAATTTCAAGCATCACGCTACATAAAAGTTTTTTTTTCTTTTTTTTTTTTTTTAAACTGAGCAGAGTCTCGCCGTGTCACCCAGGCTAGAGTACAGTGGCACAACCTTGGCTCACTGCAGCCTCCTCCTGGATTCAAGAGATTCTTGTGCCTCAGCCTCCCAAGTAGCTGAGATTACAGGCGTGCACCATGATACCTGGATAATTTTGTATTTTCAGTTGAGACAGGGTTTTGCCATGTTGGCCAGGCTGGTCTTGAACTCCTGACCTCAAGTGATTCGCCCGCCTTGGCCTCCCAAAGTGCTGGGTTTATAGGCGTAAGCCACCACACCCAGCCACAAATTCCTAATAAAGTCCTTGTATACTTTGATAGTGTAATTACTTAATTTTAGATGTATTAGAGGCAGATTTTTAAATGGGATTTCAAGGCAGATTTTTTAGTTATAAAAATCAAAATATCTCCATAATTACCATTATAAAGGTAATATATACATACTGTAAAAATTTTTTAAATATATAAGAACTTAACTATAAGCCATTCAGCCTATTGACTTTTAATACATATTATTCAGTACTATTTTATATACACATAAAAGCAGATTTGTGTATGACAACTGTATTGTTATAGGCAGTAAAATCAATTCAGATTCTGTGACAAAGGAAAATGGCTATAGTAGATGAGAATATAAGCTGGATACTAGCTAGGAAAATAAGTCCATGTTAACTTTGAAGGAAAACAAAAATTATACGTAAATAAATTACTAAATTTGATTTGCCATACTGTTTATTTGAGTTGAAAAATGATATAAAAATGTAAAGACCTACATGCCTTACAAACACATCAGAAAGTGTTTTGGGGTTCTAGGCTGTAAAATTGCTTGTAGATGCAAACACAAAGTAGCGGTTCTGTTTTTTTCTCCCTGAAAATGAAAATTGTACTGTTTTTTTCCTGTTAAAGTAATTGTGAAGAAAATTCAGAATCTGAAAACCCCAAACAAGAAGAGAAAATTACTCATTCTACAGACAATAAAATTATATATCATTTCAGACCTTTTTATAGTAGAATTTTTACAAAGTATTATAAATGCTTCTTTGTAACTGGGTTTTTTTTTTTCCTGCTTAACAAGATCTCTTAAGCCAGTATGTAGAGTTCTGTATAATATCTAATTAATGGTTAACAATATCCTATTTTAGAATGTACTTTCTTTTACTTCACTAATCCCCTATTTAGGTTGTTTAGTTTTAGGTATTCTGCAAAAGCTATGATGGATGTTCTCATACATGCTTTGCATGCTTTTCTGCTTATTAGGATAAATTTCTGGAAGTGACGTTATGTGAAAGGTACATGCATTTTTTTTTTTTTTTTTAAATAGAGGCAGGGTTTTATTCTGACACCCAGGTTGGAGTACAGTGATGAGATCATAGCTCACTACAGCGTCGAAGTCCTGGGCTCAAGTGATCCTCCTGCCTCAGCCTCCCAAGTAGTTGGGATTATAGGCATGCACTACCACATCTGGCTAATTTAAAAGTTTTTTTGTTTTTGTTTTTGTTTTTGTTTTGTTTTGTTTTTTTGTAGAGATGGAGTCTCACTATATTGCACAGGCTGGTCTAGAACTGCTGGGCCCAAGTGATCCCCCTGTTATGGCCTCCCAAAGTATTGGGATTATATGTGTGAGCCACCACACCCAGCCAATATATGCATTTTTTCTTTTTTTTTTTTTTAAATTTAGAGACAGTGGCTCACTCTGTCACCCAGGCTGGAGTGCAGTGGTGCAGTCATAGCTCACTATAGCCTCCACCTCCTGGGCTCAAGTGATCCTCCTTCCTCAGCCTCCCAAGTAGCTGAGATCACAATTGTATGCCACCATGCCCAGCTAATTTTAGAAAATTTTTTGTAGCGATGGGGTCTTAACTCTGTTGTGCAGGCTGATCTCAAACTCCTGGCTTCAAGTGATTCTCTTGTCTCAGTCTCCCAAAGTGCTGAGATTACAAGCATGAATCACCATGTCCAGCCTAATACCTGCATTTTTATTATTTTTATTTTATTTATTTATTTATTTTGAGAAGGAGTCTTGCTCTGTAGCCCAGGCTAGAGTACAGTGGTGTGATCTTGGCTCACTGTGACCTCCATCTCCTGGGTTCAAGCAATTCTTCTGCCTCAGCCTCCCAAGTAGCTGGGACTACAGGCATGTGCCACCTGGCTAATTGTTATATTTTTAGTAGAGATGGGATTTCGCTCTGTCGGCCAAACTGGTCTTGAACTCCTGACTTCAAGTGATTCACCTGCCTCTGCCTCCCAAAGTGCTGGATTACAGGTGTGCATGTTTGATTCTAGTCACCACGCTGCCAACCAGAAAGGAATAACAAATTATAGTTACATACAAGATAGGGTTAACTTGTGTCCAGTTCTGTGCTATAATGCACTGTTAATGAGACTCCCGGCAATATACAAAGCCACAGCAGTATTATGATGGAGTTTATGTATTAGAGTTTCACATATTAGAGGAGTTGGGTTGAGTTCAGCAGCGAGGGAAATGCTTATATTGGCAACTTGGATTGTGTTGTATTCATTTTCAAAAGCAGCGCTCAGGCCAGGTGTGGTGGTTCATGCCTGTGATCCCAGCACTTTGGGAGGCCGAGGCAGGTGGATCATGAGGTCAGGAAATCAAGTCCATCCTGGCTAACATGGTGAAACCCTGTCTCGACTAAAAAAAACAAAAACAAAAAAATTAGCCGGGCATGGTGGCAGGCGACTGTAGTTCCAGCTACTCTGGAGGCTGAGGCAGGAGAATGGCACAAACCTGGGAGGCAGAGGTTGCAGTGAGCTGAGCTCGTGCCACCGCACTCCAGCCTGGGTGACAGAGCGAGGCTCCATCTCAAAAAACAAAACAAAAAATGCAGCACTCTCCCACCAGCAGTTAAACTGTGATGCTATGAGTATGTGTTGATATTTTGCTGTTTTGAGGACTTGGGCATAGAGCATGATCCTTTTCTTATCTTAGATGAGTGACCGAGGAGGTGGTGTTCCTCTGAGGAAAATTGACAGACTCTTCAACTACATGTATTCAACTGCACCGAGACCTCGTGTTGAGACTTCCCGCGCGGTGCCCCTGGTATGTTATCAAGAAATAGTGAAGTGTGTTTCTGTCAATTGCCTTCCACATGCTCTAGCTGCCAAATAAGTAAGTTAAGCCATCATGTAGGGTACTCCACAAGGAAGAAAGAAGCTCTTAGAAATGCACACTTTCCCCTACATTTAAACAACCTTCAGAACACTTTTTTTTTTTTCAACTGAAATGGGCACGAGACAGAGATCTGGAGTTCTTGTTACAACGTTTGATCATGACATAGCAGTAGTTTTCCTGTGTAAAACCCTTTTTCAGAATGTGGTTAACCACATTATTTCTAATGTGGGGAATAAATTACTGGTTTTAGCAGTATTTGGTCAACACTGAATTACTTTTTAGTGTTTACTTTTTTCTCAAGTATTTGTCATTAGAATGATCTCATATCCTAGACTGAAAAATAAGACTAAAATTCTGATCTGTTCAATCACCAACCTGAGGGCTTAAATTATAATTTCTTTGATGGTGTTTTTATTAATCTTAGTTCCACCTATTTTCAGGTTTAATAGGATCAACTTTTGAATTGATTCCATCCTTATCTTTATGTTCTGACTCCCCCACAGGAAGTATGTTGCCAAAATTTTGTCTGTAATTCTAGAAGAGCTCTATTCTTCTTGGCTTGGAAACTTCTCTGACATTTCCAGTAGAATTATGCTGTAACATGATGGGATATAGTACAAGATAGATCTATTTTAGACTCCTTCCTAGGAAGTTACTAGGACTTCATTCTGATAGTTTTGTGTCCGGAATTGGTGGGTTCTTGTTCTCACTGACTTTAAGAGTGAAGCCGCAGACCCTCGTGGTGAGTGTTACAGTTCTTAAAGATGGTGTGTCCAGAGGTTGTTTCTTCAGATGTTCAGATGTGTCCGGAGTTTCTTCCTCCCGGTGCGTTCGTGGTCTCACTGGCTTTAGCAGTGAAACTGCAGACCTTCGTGGTGAGTGTTACAGCTCATAAAGGCAGTGTGTCGGGAGTTGTTTGTTCTCCTGGGGGGTTCGTGGTCTCGCTGGCTTCAGGAGTGAAGCTGCAGACCTGTGCAGTGAGTGTTACAGCTCATAAAGGTAGTGCGGACCCGGAGAGCGAGCAGCAGCAAGATTTATTGTGAAGAGCAAAGAACAAAGCTTCCACAGCGTGGAAGGGGACCCCAGTGGGTTGCTGTTGCTGGCTTGGGTGGCCTGCTTTTATTCCCTTATTTGGCCCCACCCACATCCTGCTGGTTGGTCCATTTTACAGAGAGCTAATTGGTCCATTTTACAGAGAGCTGATTGGTCCATTTTACAGAGAGCTGATTGGTTCATTTTGACAGAGTGCTGATTGGTGCGTTTACAAACCTTTAGCTAGACACAGAGTGCTGATTGGTGCGTTTACAATCCTTAGCTAAACAGAAAAGTTCCCCAAGTCCCCACCCAATCCAGAAGCCCAGCCAACTTCACCTCTCAGTTTTACCAGATGCATACCACAAATTCTATGGCTACAGCTGTACTATAGTTGAAATGCTTGTTCTAGTAATGTCCTTTTCCAGTTGAGATACATGGCTTCCAGGAGTTGGCATCCATATATCAAGGGGCAGACAGACAATGTCAAATGATAAACATGAGCATCTTTTCATAAGTCTAGTTTTATGCTAAAAAGTAGAGGGAGAGACAGGAGCTGCTGTTTTTGTAGTAAACCAATATTGTAGAATTTTTGTAGAGAGTGGCATAGTGAGCTAGTCCGGACTCTGGATCTAAACTCTTTGATTCCATTTCTGATACTGCTGCATCTTAGATGTGCAGCCTTGGGAAAATTATTGACCTCTGAAGGCCAAAGTTTCCCCAGTTAGAAAAATGGAGTTATTGTGAGAATTCAGTGAGTTGATATATGTAAAAATGCTCTTTATAGTGCCTGGCTCATGGTAAATGCCATGTAAGTGTTTGTTATTTTAGGATATAAAATGTATGTGAATTTTTAAGAAAACAAGAGGCTTGACCTGAACAGGCTCCCCCATACATCTGCATGCCCTTAACAAGGCTAAGACTGTTACTAATTTCTTGCAGAGCCTCCTTTCTGCTGACCTCACTTTGTAGATGGTCCCAGTCAGCAGGCAGTAGGGTAGCTGGCAAAAGGCCAGCAGATGCCCACAGGAGTGGCTTTCTTGTCCACCTGGTTACTAAAGGCTTCTTCCCTGTGGATACCTTCTGGTGGGTGTTTGCATGGATAGGCTAGCTTTACACTGTAAGTCCAGAGAGGAACATCCACACATCTCTCTTCCAGACCTCCTTCTCATCCTTCACTCAGTTTTGATCTTTCCGAATCTTTAACAAGCCAGCCACTTTTTGCCACTGCCCATGCTGGAAGGGTTTACTTTCACCCCGTCTTTCAGGTCTGCCCTCCAACCCTGACAGGGATTGTAGTAGGAACACGGCAGCCTACTTTCGGATGGTGATAGCACATGGGGTAATTCTATCAGTGGACCCAGAAGCCCAGCCAGCTTCACCTCTCAATCCCCACTCTAAACAGGACACTCTAACTGCTGTTGGGAATTGGGCAATGACTGCTGTAGCTACTTCCTGCTGGACAGGGACGAAGAAGGGGCCCTGCAGTGTAGTGGCCTCCAGCGGGGAGCTCTTTAGGTCAGTGAAAGGGCCAGTGGGTCAGTCCAGGGGTCCTCGGTAGAAGTTGTTGGTTGAGCTCATTTGGGGTTCCATTTGTAAGACCATCTGTAGCTTGATGGCCTTGATTCTAGAGGAAACAAATTTGACAAGGAAGTTAAAAATACAGGGCCTGAAGGTGAGTGATAGCAAGATGGCTGTCACAGGACCTAGAAAGGGGAGAAACCATGTTGCCCAGTGCCAGAGGTTGATATAAGAGTTTGAAAGGCGTTGTCTGATTTCAGAATACTTTTCCTGTAAACACCGGGTGACATCTCGGTCTATGCCTGACTGGTTAGTGTAAAAACAACACTCTTCCCCTAAGAAGGTGCGGAGTCCTCCGTTCTCAGCAGTGAGGAGGTCTAGGCCTCGGCGGTTTTGGAGAGTCACTGCTGCTAAAGAGAGTATTTGGGATTGTAGAGTAAGGATAGATTTTGTTATTTCTTGCAAACTGTCTGAGAAATCCTTTGAGTGTTTGTGGTAGTAGGATAATGAAGTAGATAAACTGGATATTCCGGTTCCTGTAGCAGTGGCCATTTCTAACCCTGTAAGTAGGGGTATTAGTTGTATGGCCCTGCGCTGAGGGACTTGAGCTTTGAGGAGCACTGATAGGGTCTGATTTCCATGAGATTAGAAGTTAGGATAATATATGTTACACTGTTAACTTTTAGCAAACTTTACTTTTATTGAAACCTTGTAAGTTTGGGATTTCAATTATTCTTTCCTATTAATAAGATCTCGTTCAGTCCATATTAACTTAAAATTGGTATAGATGGCTCCTTCCTGATTCTGTAACTACCTTAAGCGCTCACATTTGAGTAGACCGAATATTAGGCAATTTTTCTAACTCTGCTTCTACAAGAGTTTCCTTATCACTTACTGAATACCCATTGTATCTTTTTCCCTTAATCGCCTGGGAGGAAACATCTATCGTCCTGTCCTGAAGGGAGTTCCTCCTTTGTGTGGTCGGACCTTCAGATTTAGATCCCCTGTTAGGAAACCCACTGGGTTAAGGATTTTTGATAGGAAAGCTATGGGTTGTCAGTGGCCTCAGTGCTTTCAGGCTATGCCCTTGTTTACATGGACAACAAGGTGGTATTGGAGTATTATAGGGTTACAGAGAAGACCTTCAATTATCAATTATAGGTTTTAAATTTACCCTGGCTTGTAAAGGAATAGGGTATACTGTTTTTTCTTTGCTACTATCTCTCTTTCTCTTTGACTTCTTTGTCTCTTTCTGACTCTCTTTGTCTCTTCCTCTCTTTGACTTTCTGTGTCTTTCTCTCTGACTTCCTCTTTGTCTCTGTCTCCTCCTCTCTGTCTCTTTGACTTTGTCTCTTTCTTTCTTTCTCTCTGACTCCTTGTTTGTCTCTCTCTTCCTTTCTCTCTCTCTCTGACTTTCTGTGTCTTTCTCTCTTTCTTTTCTGCTTGTCTTTCCCTGCCTCTGCCAGCCACTTATGCTGCTCTTCTCCCCTCTCCTGGAGAAGTCCGCAGACCAAGAACCCACCGGAAGGAACCAATTCCGAACACAATACGATCAAGCAGGCAGCAAGGAAAAGCAATATGCTTTTTCCAGACCAACCACAAGTCATTTTATAGAAAGAATAAAGAGTTTTAAATGACCACAGGGAAGTTAGCTGATACAGTACTCGAGTAAACCTCAGCTTAATCATTAATGCTTAAATATTAATTATATTAAATATAATGCATCTCTCAGATGTAGGCTCTGAAAGCCTCAGTGGCATCTATCTTAATTAGAAAAGTATTTCAGTGTGTGGCTCTCTGAATAGAATTTTGTTTTTCTCATCAAACAGGCTGGTTTTGGTTATGGATTGCCCATATCACGTCTTTACGCACAATACTTCCAAGGAGACCTGAAGTTGTATTCCCTAGAGGGTTACGGGACAGATGCAGTTATCTACATTAAGGTAATAGCTGTAGTCTTCTTGATTTAATATTTCTTTTGATGATAAGAATAGATGCCCATACTTAACTGTAATGAAATTTAACTCTACCACATGCTGTTTACATAGAAAAAAGATTATGGTTTTTTGCCTGGGTTCTCACCAATTTTGATAGATGATCCCCTCAACTATGGGGAAAGAGATTTGTATCCTGGAGTGATCAGGACTCTGGCTATTAATAGGAAAAAAATTGGGTTAAAGTAGAGAATCATAAGTTATATATCATACAAGTTTAATTTTAACATAAAACACATGAATGAACATTGATATACCAAACTTTTGATGTACTGCCAAGGCCTTTTCTTTGTATATGGGTCTGCAGATAGGAGTGTCACATTGTCTTTTTTGCAAAAGCTGTACTGACAGTGCATCATTTTAGTTTCTTTAAACAAACAAGTGCATACTCTTTTTGGACTTTTATGCTGTCCTTTACAGATACCTCCTGACTGATTTGACAGCAAGTTTTATGTGACTTTCCTTCAGGAGTCTTTCCAAAACATTCATCTTAGTTTTCAAAGAAACATTCCCTTTTTTATTCTTTGCTAATGTAATAGATTTTGTAATTATAATGACAGAACTGTACAGATTTGGGAACAAGCACAAGTGACTCTTGGTAAGCATATAGCTTACCCGATGGACACAGAAGCACTTAGTTTGCTTGCCTGGAGTGTTCAATGCATTAAGGAGGGATCCATACATTTTTACATGGTTGGAAAAACACTAGGTTCCATCGTTCCCCTTCTTCAGCTAACTGGTGACTGTTCATGCCTGATTTAGTGACTCTAGTTTCTTGTTCTGGCCACTAGATGGCATCTATTTTATAGAAAATGTTTAAGAATTTATATTGGAAAAATCTGAAAAGACTAAATTCTTTCCAGATGGTATTTTTTGTTTGTTTTTTTAACCATGTCAATTGTGAGGAAAAAGGGCAACATCAATGCAATTTTTTTTTTTTTTTTTTTGCACAGAGTCTTGCTCTGTCACCTAAGCTGGAGTGCAGTGGCATGATCCTGGCTTACTGCAACCTCCGCCTCCCGGGTTCAAGCTGTTCTGCCTCAGCCTCCCAAGTAGCTGGGACTACAGGCGCCTAATGTTTGTATTTTTAGTAAAGATGGGGTTTCACCATGTTGGCCAGGCTGATCTTGAACTCCTGACCTCAGGTGATCACTTGCCTTGGCCTCCCAAAGTGCTGGGATTACAGGCGTGGACACTGTGCCTGGCCCAATGCAGTATTTTTATGACGAAATATAACATTTTGATCTAGCCCAGGAGTGTCCAGTCTTATGGCTTCCCTGGGCCATATTGGAAGAACAACTGTTTTGGGCCACACATAAAATACACTAACGATAGCTGATGAACTTAAAAAAAAAATTGCAAAAAAAAAATCTCATAATGTTTTAGGAAAGTTTACAAATGTGTTGAGCTTCATTCAAAGCCTTCTTGGGCTGCATGCAGCCTGTGGGCCATGGATTGGACAAGCTTGCTCTAGCCTATAGATCCAGAAATTCTGGAATATTTAGAGAGAATATGGAGGTGAAAGGTTTTTAGTTCTACCTTAGAGAAAATAGAAGACAAGAAGTCTTAGAGAATCATTAAAATTGTCAACATCAAAGACTGTAGTGCCAGGCGCGGTGGCTCACGCCTGTAATCCCAGCACTTTGGGAGGCCGAAGCGGGCGGATCACGAGGTCAGGAGATCGAGACCATCCTGGCTCACACTGTGAAATCCCGTCTCTACTAAAAATACAAAAAATTAGCCAGGCGCGATGGCGGGTGCCTGTAGTCCCAGCTACACAGAAGGCTGAGGCAGGAGAATGGCGTGAACCCGGGGGGGCGGAGCTTGCAGTGAGTGGGGATTGCGCCACTGCACTCCAGCCTGGGCGACAGAGCGAGACTCCGTCTCAAAAAAAAAAAAATACTTTAGCCTTATCAGAATGAGATTTTCTGGTTCAGGATGTTCTGCATCTTAGGAAATGCCGTTGGCCTGGGGTGGAAATACTACTGAAAAATCCTAACTTGAAGAAGATAACCAGAAATGTAGTTTATCTCGGGTTCCAGTGACTTTCAGGAAATACAATGGAGAATTAATGGTAATAATATATTGAAAACATGAAATAATGCATGATGCAGCAAACTTGTGCACAGTGACTGAAATTGGAGGCTTTAGAAGACGCAGGTTCAAACCCAGGGCCAAGAAATGTTCACAAAAAAGCCAAGATGCCTTAGACATAGATTTATATTTATTAATAATGTTATAATGAGTTTTAAAATTTTTATGTGTTTATAGAGACAATGTCTTGCTGTGTTGCCAGGCCAGAGTGCAGTGGTACAGTCACAGTTCACTACAGCCTTGAACCCCTGGGCTTCAAGTGATCCTCCTCTCTCAGTCTCTCAAGTAGTTAGGACTACACTCATGTGCCACCATGTCTAGCTGATATTTTTATTTTGTGTAGAGACAGGATCTTGCTATGTTGCCCAGGCTGGTCTCCAACTCCTGGGCTCAAGCAATCTTCCTGTGTAAGCTTCCCAAAGCACCGGGATTATAGGCATAAGCCACTGTGCCTGGCTTGTGATGAGTTTTTTTAAAGCACAGTGACTATACTGGAAAAAAAAAAAAAAAAAAACTATTTCTTCTAGTAAATAATTAAAATAGAGTTCATTAATTTTATATACATATATTAAGATACATATATCGATTTGTATGTTTTTACATTTAACCAACTTCTTCGGTTTGCCAACTCTGATCTGGGTCATGTTTTGTGTAAAATTTCAATACAGCAGCTTCCAGGATGGCTGGGAACTACTGTAAGCAACAAACTCAGTCAACCTGCACATCAGTCAGTGCCATAGATTTAATAAATAAGATGTTTCAAATATACATAACCATTTAAAAGTATAGTTAGGTGGTATAAGGATTAATAAGATACTGATAGAATGTTATCTAATTTGTCATAACCTTTTTACCATTCTCTATTTTCTCAAATAATGAATTCTAAAAAATGCCAGACTTAATAGGTCTTAGGTTTGTTTTTTTTTTTCAGGCTTTGTCAACAGACTCAATAGAAAGACTCCCAGTGTATAACAAAGCTGCCTGGAAGCATTACAACACCAACCACGAGGCTGATGACTGGTGCGTCCCCAGCAGAGAACCCAAAGACATGACGACGTTCCGCAGTGCCTAGACACACTTGGGACATCCGGAAAATCCAAATGTGGCTTTTGTATTAAATTTGGAAGGTATGGTGTTCAGAACTATATTATACCAAATACTTCATTTGTCATTTTCACAAAACTATTTGAGTAGAAAAAATGGAAACTGAATTCCATTTGTGCCCATTAAACCTCCTAAAGGATGAAATCACACCTATTTTACACTTATATTTCACAGTAATTGAACATATTTTTAAACAACTGTAGTTTTGGTCAACTTTTTGCTTTGTGGTAGACTTCAGAAGTGTGGAAATCTTTGGGTTTCTATAGGAAACTAGTTTTTTTTAAAAAAAATACTTTGTTTGCTAGAAACATTTTCTAAATAATAGTGATTAGCTGGTTAGCCATCTTCCTGTTATTTGGAGGAGTTCTGCCGTCTTTATTCGGTAGTAATATGGTCTTCATGTTTATCAGTGACTGACTACAAGTAAAGCAGAAAACAGTTGCCCTGTAATCACAGAACCAGCCACCATTCGGCGTCTATGTGCATTGTCTTAGCTATGAGGTTAATTCATCATTTTAAAATTTTATTGTAAAGAAGTGTAATGACTCTCTCTCTGTGGATCTATGCCAAAATCATGGGCCGTCTGTTCTAAGTGTACTTGTGATTAATGCAAGGAGAAATTTTTATACTGAAAACAAACATACTAGCAGCTACTAAAATAGAGAAGAAATTGAGGGCAAAGTAATATGTCTCCAAAACTGAACTGATTGCTTGTTGAGATTACCTAGAAAGCTTTTGGAAAAAAATGGAGTTTTTCTGCGTCCTACTCCAGATATACCGAATCAGAATCCCTAGGACTAGAGCCTAGAAATCTCACTTTTAAAAATGCTTCCTAGGTGAGTCTGATGCCTACCCTAGGTTGGGAACCACTCTTTCAAAGTAAGTAGTGATGACACGGCATTTACTAAAGTAACATCTGTAGGTTTTGGTTTCCACCTATTTAAAGCCAGATTTATAGACTCGAGAAGACAGAAACTGAATCCCACACCTGGTGCAATTAGAAGCATAATTAGAAGCAGAAGAACAAAATGCCAGGTAACCAAAGCATCAGAGCCATCATTGCTCAAGTCTTTTTTCTTTCTCTTTTTCTTTTTTTTTTTTTTTTTTTTTTTTTTTTTTTTTGAGACAGGGTCTCGCTCTTTTGCCCAGGATGGAGTGCAGTGACATGATCAAGGCTCACTGCAGCCTCAATCTTCTGGGCTCAAGTAATCCTTCTACCTCAGCCTCCTATATAGCTGGAACTACAGTTGTGCATTACCACACCCAGCTAATTTTTTTTATTTCTTGTAGAGATGAGATCTCAGTATGTTCCCAGGCTAGTGTTGAACTCCTGAGCTCAAGAAATCCTCCTGCCTGAGTCTGAAAGTGCTGGGAGTATAGGCGTGAACCACCACACGTGGCCTATTGCACAAGTCTTGACAAACAACATATATTTTCTAAAACTATCCAAATTTTGTTATCAGGGAGAAGTTTGCTTAGGTTTATTAGAGCAGTCCTTTGCATTCGTATGGTAATTTGTACTTTACAAACACTTTGATATATTATAACTCTATTGGTCTTTGAAACAAAGTGATGCAGTGTAGGTGGTATCATTGTCTTTCTCACTCAGTGTGGCCCAGAGTTGCTCAGAGTCGGAGCAGACCCTGAGGTGTATCTGCAGATCCTGTCATCAGCTGGCAAGTCCAGGAGACTGTGTCATTTAGAGACTTGTTGTTAGTTACCCCTCAACATCTTTTAAGGTGGCAGGAAAATACAGTGGACATAGCATTTTAAAGTAAAAATTTTAAAGTTTAAAGAAGAGTTTTGCCACTTAAATGGGAGAGCTTTGTCTAGAAAATCCATTGAGTTGAAACACTTCATCCTTGGAAGGATTATGTAAGATGAACAATTGCGATAAATGTGTGGATTAGAGGCAGTTAGTGAATAGGCAGTTAGTCCAGTGCCCTCATTTAAGAGGCCAAGATCCTGATTCAGAGTAGGCATCCTTTGCCCAGAGCTTCTTAGCTAATCTGACCAAATGTTGGGGAAAATGTCTCACCTAACCCACTATTCCTTAATTATGGATTTTGTGAAAAACAATGGAACATGTTAATGAGTAATTTATATTAGTTTGATGTATTACAATTTTTTAGCTTTAAATTACACTTTTCTTATAATGATGAAATGTTTTAGAATCCTTTGAATCTAAGTATTTGTTTCCTAAATGAAACATTTGTACAACATTTGATGTTTTTACTTATGAAATATTCTCCTCCGTCAAGAAAATTAAAACTTTTTCTCTCTATTTAAAAGCTAAGAAATGTTTTAAAGGAAAAATGAAATTTTTTCCTTTAGCTTATTTTTTTTTTTTTTTTTGGGACGGAGTCTTGCTTTGTGGCCCAGGCTGGAGTGCAGTGGCCGGATCTCAGCTGACTGCAAGCTCCGCCTCCTGGGTTTATGCCATTCTCCTGCCTCAGCCTCCCGAGTAGCTGGGACTACAGTTGCCCGCCACCTCGCCCGGCTAGTTTTTTGTATTTTTTAGTAGAGACGGGGTTTCACCATGTTAGCCAGGATGGTCTCGATCTCCTGACCTCGTGATCCGCCCGTCTCGGCCTCCCAAAGTGCTGGGATTACAGGCTTGAGCCACCGCGCCCGGCCCTTTAGCTTATTTTTTAAGGTAAAACATCTTTTTACTCTGTTATTGTGGTAATGGACAGAAAATTACATACAAAAATATTCTGGGAGAGCTTTCTCCTAGTTGGTTTTAAATCCTTGTGCTACCTGAAAGGTTTTTAGATTTTACAGGAGCTATTTTGTCCACCAGCATTAATGTAACACAGTGTAGTTATGAAAATATATTGAAGGACAAGAAGTGGACACGAAGTGATTTTTGTAACCTGAGCAGTTAATGAATGTGCCAACATTTTCTAGGAAGGGACAGCAAGAATATTCTGCTCTGTAGTTAAAATACTGGCGGGCCTTTGATGTCTTCATGCTTAATTGTGATCACTTTCTTGCACTGTGATGTTTTTACGTGAATATGTTGAAGTGGAAGTCTACCTTATTATTTTATAAAATGTTTTCTGTACGACAATAAACTGAAAACATGGATCAACCCTTATTTTGAAAATAAACTGAGTCAATTTAGCCTTTTAAAAATATGGTCATCTCTTTTAAATAGAATCCTCTTCCACCATCAAGGCTCAACATTTTGTAAGCATCCAAAAAATTGATAGTTAGGGGGCTTGCACTAAATTTCACTATCTTCAGTAGAGAGGAACTGTTTGGAACTTAGATTTCCAATGTGTATATTCTAATAGAGAAAGCAAGAGGTAGAGTTTGTATGTTTGACTTACCCTAGATTTTTATTTTCCATACATACCACAGATGATTGACTTGTTGCATAAATGAAGATCTTCTGTTGTGTGCTTTTCAAACACTGTAAATAAATTTGAAATTTGAATAACTTTCCACAGTATAACTGTAAAAAAAAAAAAAAGTCTTAATTTAACCAGCATTATTACCCTCTGCTTGTACCAGCTGAATGGCAGAACTAAACTCCTATAAATTCCTATCCTATTTCTAACTGATGGGATATAGGCACCACAATTTCCCTTCATTGTTGAAGCCAACAAGTTCCATAACAGAACTCCAGAGGTAAAGAGCTGGGGAAACTGTTAGTTTTAAGGTCACACTGTTGCCCTGTGAATGACTAATCAGAGGAAGCCAAAAAACAGCCAACCAATTTCAGTTTATGTCTTTAATTGTGATGTAAGTGTGAAGTATCTACATATGGGTAATCATGGTTGAGTTAGGTAGTTTGCAAACATGACTTTTGCTGGAGGAACTTTTAATCATGTCTGATTAATTTTTGGCCCCAATAATTAATTTTCTTACAGTCAAACCCAATGCACTTGAAAAATAATATAATTAATACTGTGTGAAGGATTTTTTCCATGTTAAAAAAAGCAAATCACTAGTTTGCTTAGTTCTGGCATTCATAAAGTACTGCGCCTTCTGTTCTATTGACATGTTTGGAAAAAAGAATTGAACATATGTACCACCCCCCTCTTTCTAAAGTCTCCACAGTTCTTTAGCAATTGCTAACCGTAGGTTTTTAATAGCAAAAGACAAGATTGTCAGTTTTTGGTGCAAAACTCCACTCTTTTTGGTTGACTTGGAAAAGCTGTTGTTTATATTGGGAATTGTGACAGCTATCTTTTACTTTGTTAAATTAGAGATTATTTAGCAAAAATATAGTTTCACCCCGGTAAAATAAACTTCCACGTGAGGGTTGTGTTCATTCAGGGTATTTTTTGAGAGTGGAAGTACACTTCCTGCATTTGTCACAGATAATATCAGAAATTTTGTTGTTTTGATTAAAGTGTTGCCATCTACTTATAAGTTAAAAATGCTGAGAAGGTTTTTTTTGGCAACAGTTTATGAAGCCAGGACACTTTTAAGTTTGACTCAAATATAAAAAGCCACAGTATTCTTGCCATGGTTTTGTACTTAGATGTCTCTCATTATGGGATTCAGAATGTAACAGTTATAGTACTGTATGAAAACACTTAATACACAGTTCTACAGTTACAGTATTGCATGAAAATACAGTATGGTGTGAAATTATTTGTCCAAAACTGTACTCTACTCTCAGTATCTCCATAATGCCCAGTATGTAGTAGGCACCTGTAATTGTGAAGCAGCCTCGTCTGGGGTAAATACCAAGGTTCTTGGTTCCACGGCCAAGGAAATGGAGGTTGCAGACACACAGTTTGGAGCGGTTTAATAGGCAAAAGGAAAGAACAGCTCTCTGTTACAGAGAGGGGTCCCGAGCAGGTTGCCAAGTTGTAGTAAAAATGTCAGGGTTTTTATAAATGGGCTAGTGAGGAGGAAGTTCGTGAGGAGGGGATGTCTTATTCTCCTAGGGCCGGAGGGCGCTTTAGTTGGGACCAGGTGTGCTATCTGTGCAGAGCAGAGCTTTTTATCAGCTCTTATCCCAGTCCCTGACCATGTAGGCTCTTAGACTCTTAGTCTGTGTTTCTTTGTCCTGCTTATCTGAAAGGGAGAGTTTCTGTGTCTGTTCCCATACATCTTGCAGCTGCAGGCATCCCCCCTAGTCTGCTTTTAGCTTCCTTATCTTAGTGCCCCTAAAGGGAAAGGAATGTGCTTATTAAGGGCCACTGTTTTACTGGGGTTAACTGCATGAGGTTAAAAAGGGAGCTATTTTTGAGCTGCTGTTTGTTAAAAGGAAAGTTTTCTGCCGGGGACTCGCTTTACCCTGTTTACCTAAATTATTTTTGCCTTCTATGACAATTGTGTGCTCAGTAAATACATAAGGAATAATGAACTTAATAACATTTTTTTCTCCATTCTCAAAATGATACTTAAAAATGACTCAGTACAACAAAGAAACTGAGTAGTAACCAGTGCAAAACTAGCAAAAGGATGAAATACACAAGAAAATGAGAGAATTTAAGAGGAGTAGCAAAACAGCACTGCTGAAGTTACGGGTTTATTTTAAAGTTTAAAGTAGAAGTAAACAAGTAAACACGCTGATAGTGGTTAGGCTTTCTGTCCCCACCGCACAAGTCTCATCTTGAATTAAAATCTCCACATGTTAAGGGAGAGACCAGATGAAAGTAATTGGATCATGGCGGTTGTTTCCCCCATGCTGTTCTCGTGATTGTGAATTCTCATGAGATCTAATGGTTTTGTAAGTATTTAGTAGTTCCTCCTGCATTCATTCTTCCTGCTGCCCTGTGAAGAGGTGCCTTCCGCCATGATTGTGAGTTTCTGGAGGCTTCCCCAGCCATGCGGAACTGTGAGTCGATCCTCTTTTTATTATAAATTACCCCGTCTCAGGCAGTTCTTTATAGCAGTGTGGGGACAGACTAATACCCACTGGGTTAGCTGGGGTAGGTAAACAGCAGCCAGCTGGTGGGTGTCCCTTGATGGAGGCTTTGCAGGCTGCAGCAGAAGGGACCGTTCCGATAAACCTCCAGTCAGGAAAGGAAAAGGCCCAAATAAACAGTATTTAGATTTTTTTTTTAAAGGACATAACTACCAATAGAGATTTAAAATAATCATAAGAGTACCATTAACTTTATGATAAAAATTTTGTAAGTGGAGAAGAAATGGATATATTTCTAGGAAAACAGTATAAGATCCATCTAAGATTTTGACAATTTAAATCAACCACTAAGGAAATGAAATCAGTAATCACAAGTCCACCTCGCCAAAAGGCAATTTTTGAAAGATGAATGTTACCAAAACATCAAGAAACTGATAATTCCTATCTTACAGAAACTTTGAAATGAGGGAAAGCTACCCAACCCATTTCAAAAAGTTAGTAAAATCTCAAAACTACACTTGAGCAAAGACTATGAAATATTAATAGACCAATCTTGTTTATGAACATAGATGGAAAAATTGCCAATGAAATATTGGCACATTGAATGTAGCAGTGCATAAAAATATTGTATTGAGCAAAAGGAGAATCCCAGGAACAGGAGGATGTTTTAATGTCTAAAAATCTATGTAATTTACCTCTCTACAGATTAGAGGAGGAAAAACATGAACACATCAACAGAGACAGGAAATTCAGGTTTTTTGCGGGGGATGGTTGTAATTAAAAGTGCTTAACTCACTTATATAAGCCATTATATCCAGTTACAATAAATCTTGTATAGTGGCAGATGTAAGACAGATATACTGGAATTATCTATGGGGTTGGATCCATGGGCCTGCCACGGAAAATTTGTTGAGTTATATGTCCAAGGGTCACCATTTGCAAGGTGTTAACAAAAAGTTACCTGCCTATGGATTCCCCTTTCTAACTCTGGCCTATTATTTTGGAACATGGAGGAAACAAACATCTGATGTTTCTGTGTTTGGGTAAACATTATTAGGCTTATAAAAGGGCCTAGGGTTTTTTTGTTTGGTAAACTGTTGCCTTTCCTGCTTTGGTATGGCAAATCTT